TCTCAATCTCCCCTCGGGCAGGTTCAAGCCATTCCCCTTGTCCTGGCCCTACAGGCCCTTGTCCAAAGCCCCTCTCCAGGTTTCCTGGAGCCCCTTTAGGCACTGGAGCTGCTCTAAGGTGTCCCCTTGAGGAGCCTTCTCTTCTCCAGCGGCCCCAGCCCAGCTCTCTCAGCCTGGCTCCAGAGCAGAGCTGCTCCAGCCCTCGCAGCAGCTCCGGGGCCTCCTCTGGCCTCACTCAAGCAGGAGCAGCAGATGAAGCTTCCTCTCCAGCAGCTCCATCAGCTGTCAACAGCTGGACAGCACCGGGTTTCCGTGACAGCTGTTGATTTAACAGCATCTTTATTCCTCCAAGCCTCATTACATACAGCATTCCAAGGACAGCTTGCAGGGAAAGGCTACAGTCACAGCTTGGGAGGTCCCGCCAGCCTCCAGCCCTCCTTGTTACCAATCTTCATGAGGGCAGCAGTGATCCCAAACCCCAAACAGCACATGGTACCGGTGAAGTAATTGTGAGCTGGAAACAACACAACAAACCAGAAAAGATCTCTCAGGGCACAAGTACTACAGAGTAGATCGTGACAGTCATTTTTCTAGGAGCTACTCGCAGTCCCTTGACCCTCAGGAATGTTGTTTGCCAAGTGAAAGCAGCAAAACGACTTGGATTTACATTTTCTCATGCTTTTAGCTTCCCATTGGAAACACCAGTTTCCCCAGCCCCCTACCCCATCTCCTTACACAGGCAACCTCCCAGCCTGTACCTCAGTGACAAACCCAACCATCACTGTTTCCATCTCCCATCAGCTCAGCAACTGGGAAAAGTAAAGATCAATTCTATTTCATCCCAGTTCCAACTTCAGTAAATGCCTCCCGTCTTTAACACAGAGTCGGAACGCCTACAGGAGGCAGAGCTGCACAGACACCTGCAGGGGCTGATCTAGCCTGACAGCAGCCAGACACAGCTTGTCCCTCAGATCAGGTGAAGAATTCACAAGGCAGATGTTAGAACGTATCTTCCAGGTAAAATAAAGCACATTTGTTCCCAAGAAAACACAGATTTCCACAGGTCCTTCTTCCACACCCTGCGATTTCAAGGTATAACCGGCAGTTAGAACAGGCAGAACTGGGCCAGCTCTGTTTGCATGGTGTAAATCAGCCTGAAGCTACCCCTGGTGTCACTCTGCAGCAGTAGTTATTTTAGCAGACCTGTACAACGGAGCATCACCCAAACTGGCATGAAATGGAATTCCGATGACGAGGAGACATCAGGATTAACTGACATTTTTCCCCTCTAGGAAGGCTTCTAAAAGCAGAGAGGGCTCAGTTCACTACAGGCGTTACCCACACTTACTTTTCGCCCCGACGACAGCTCCGGAGGCGCAGCCTCCTATGAAGTAGTTCAAGGGATCATCTGGCTTCTCCCGGATCTCGGCAGTGAGGCAGGTCGTCACCCCGAACACAGCCCCGAGTGTAGCTGCAAACAAGAGGTGAAACCCCCACAACTAAAGCGAACAAAAACCCTCAAGCAACCGGGACCACCCCCCAAACACGTCTGTGACACACACGGTGCTGGGCAACGGGAGAAAAGAGGGAAACGAACCAAGATCTGCTGTCAGGTACCCGCGGGCATCGTATTCTGGCTGCTGTGGTGAGACTGAGCATTAGACAAGTGCCCT